ACCTAAAACAAAAAGCTGAAGTTGATTAGAGTTCGGAAGAAATGTTAATGGGGTGTTTAGTCAAAGCTGTGACCCTGGCAGTCCTGACAGGCAGGGCCTTGACCACATATTTCAAGATGCCAAATAAACACACCATAGTGAGTCACACAGAAAGACTGATTCTTGGTGGCCACATTGACACCCAGTCTCTGGAAAGTCTGATCTACGATGCCTCTCTGTATGCTATGAATATGTTTTATTACCACTAGTTCATAAAGAAGCTGATATAGCCAAAAGTCAGGCAGGATAGAGCCAGGTGGGAAATCCAAATGGAAGAAAGAAGATGGAGTTGAAGAGATGTCAGCAGCCACTAGGGAAACAAGATGTGAGGTAATGAGCCATGAGCTTCGTGATAAAATATAGAATAAAGGAAATGGGTTGGCTTAAGTTATAAGAGCTGATTAATAATAAGTCTGCACTAATAGGCCAGACAGTTTGTAATTATTATTACGCCTTACAGTGGTTATCTGGGAACTGGCAGGCAGGAGAGAAACCTCCAGTTACACAAGTCTATCTTCTAGGTCCCGACCTATGGTTTATGTTTAATTAGATGCAAAACTAAGCAGTCCTGGTCAAGGTGTGGTCCTGCCCACCACTGCCCACTACAGTCCAGGCTCCAGGTGCAAGGTGTTCTGACATGTAGGCAGAATGTGAACCTCCATGTCTGGCTTACCTTAGGCACTTCCAAGTCATCACTAAGACAAGGAAAAAGAAGATCACTAACAAGGATTTGTTCTGAACACAGAATTGGCAAAGCAGCAGTACCTGAAGTATAAAAAGCACTCCTGTGTCTTGTTAAGCTGATGTTTTCAAATGGATTAAACCTTGAAAACACACTTACAAAAAAACAGAAGATTATGAAGAGAGGGTTCAATGTCAAACTATCAGGAAAACTCATATTAAAAGGTCAAGCAGGAAGCCAAATGAGCATAAGAATGACTAACATACAGACAGACTGGTAACAGTAGGTACTGGGTAACAGACAACACAGTTCTCTTATATTACTGGTGAGACTGCAAACTATTCAGCGGGTACTTGTATATGCTACTGCACAGCACAGCAATTTTAGTCCTCAAAGTTTATCAAAGATTAAATAGATTATATGACTACACAGAAATTTCAAAAGATTCATAGCAACTTATGCATAAAACTAGAATCAAGAAATTCAAGTAACTATCAACAAATCAATGGAAAAAGAAAATTGACTTATCAGTTCATTTATAAAACTCCAACATTGTCGGTATTAAACAGAACCAGATCTGGTAGGAGCAACAATCAAACAAAGACATAGTACGACAATCTCTGTTGCGATGTGCAAGCCAGTAACAGTAACCAAACTCACAATGCCTTGCTATGGGGAGGAGGGGTGGGGTTAGTAAGCTTCCTCCGGAAAGATAAATGCAGTCTGGAAGCCACTGAACTTCAAAAGAGACGCAGCACCTGTGCGGCCCCATGCAATACAAACACTAGTACTCTTCAACAATGGCTCCTCCCACTGTTAATCCTCAAATTCTCCAGAAAAAAAAATAGTTCTACCACTTTGGCTAAATTAAAGCAAGCTTTTATTAAAGTGTTAAATACTGGCCAAGATGGAATTTGGTCAGAGCCATCACCTGGAAACTTTCCCAAGGCATGTGTTGTTAGGTTTATATGGACAAAACCATAGGCCACCAGAACTTTCCCATGAGGCTTTGTTGTTATTTTCCAAGAACTACAATTCCCAGAATCCCAGGATGTTACTTAGTCCTCGGGCATGTGGGGCTTACAGGTTAGTTTCATGTTTAACACCACCACAGTCTTTAGTTTTTCAACCTGCTTTTCAGGGTATTCATAAATGTACCAAGGAACTTGACCTGGGCAATTCAGACTAAAATTTAGTGAACCTATTCTTGGCAAAATATATCTGTAATATGTAAACATAAAAACTCCCTTCACTTCAGCTGAGGGCACAATGCGGGGTTGGAGTGGGGGGATAAGGGGAGGACTGGGGGCAAGAAAGAGTCAATATTCTGTGAGCTAAGCTAAATCAAATTCTATTTAAATGAAAGTTAACACAACCATAAAACAAACTGAAAACATACAACAGGCCATCCCAAGCACATCACTACAGCCCAAAATTCCCATTCCTACTGGGCAGTGAGTGTGTGATGAGGCCTGATGGAGCAGCAGCAACATAAAGGAGAAAGAAAAAATCCAACACAATTTGGAGCTACAGAAACAGAATTCCATTCAAATGAATGAAAATTAAACAAACCACTGACCCCAAGTCACTTTTAGTATACGAAGGTTTATTTAACCTTAGATCTGAACCTTTGAATTCAACAAGTCACACCAAATACTATGTATAAGACATCTCGTCATACTATTGTATCAGAACAGTAGACCCAAAGAGGGTCATGTTAGGTGAAGAAGGGTGGAATATGGGTAGAAGGACACAAATCATAAAAGATCAAGTCAATTTTTTTCTCTTTCTACCTCACTCTCACTCTCACCTCTTCTCTGTCAACCAGCTTGCCCTCCTGTGAGTAGTATGTTCATCTATCCTCCATGTGCCTTGCCAATCCCAAACACCTGCAACTCACTGTGTTGGATAAAATCTAATACACCCGCCCATCATCTAGATTTTGATCAGGACTCCTAATGTCTCCCTTTAGTCACAGGTGCTGCCTTCCCTTTTCCATAACAACTTTCTCCCACTATTAGTTTCCCAAGCTGACACCCACCCTGTGATTTCTGCTGGAATACTCTAGAGTTCCCCACTGCCTTTAATAAGTAAAGATGGCCTGTCATCACCCACCAGGTGGTGTTCACTTGTCTTTCCATATTCACGGTCAGCAAGGAACGAGCAGCAGCAGCAGGCACCTGCAAGCACCGGCAGCTCCCTGGATGTTTGCTCTCTCCCACCAGGCTTTGCACATTCTCTTTATGTTGACAAGTCTGGCCACTCCCTCTACTTACAGCCATCCTCACAACACATCCGGTTTGCCACCTTCCGAAAGAAATGTCTCCAGCCCTCCAAGTCTAAGCAAGTATCCCCCCTGGGACACCAACACCTACAACAGCACTCTACTGAAAACCCATGCCTTGGGTCCCCAATAGAAGAAATTTGTGTCTGAATTCCTGCATTAGTCTTAAGCACCTCTCAGTACTCACCCAGGCATTGAACAATGAAAAGACCACAAAAGAAAATATGAGGCTAAAATTTGTTAAAAGGCTAATAAAGTCATATGCTAAATGTACAAAGCTAATTCAGTCATCCTAGAAACACTTTATTAGATGGGTTACTTTAGGACTTAGAGCTAGCCAATACAAACGTGTACACAATGCTGGGCAGCGGTGGCGCACACCTTTAATCCCAGCACTTGGGAGACAGAGGCAGGTGGATCTCTGAGTTCAATCCTGGTCTACAGAGTGAGTCCCAGGACAGGCAGGGCTACACAGAGAAACCCTGATTCCAAAACAAAACAAAACAAAAATCTTGCACACTAAGTAATTGTTCTTAAAATTCTATAAAACCTAACAATTAAAAAATTAAAGACTATGCATTATTCTACTAAAGACTGGGTACTGTTCTATTTCTATAGCTTTCTCCCTCTTTCCCCATTTATCACTTCCTTTCTTCAGCACCTTACATGAATTTTCTTCAAACTAAATTCTGTACTCATTTCTTTCCTTTGTCCAATCCTTTTAACTCCTTGTCTACTTTCTCTTCTTCCAATCTAACAACAACAACAACAAAAAACAACCAGCACAATATCATATCTATCATCTGTTACTGATTTTTGTCTAAAATAAAGGACACATAAAAAGCAGTGATGGTGATGGTATCACTAGCCAGCCACCAAACCCTATGTGCCAATCTGCCGGAGCAAGTTCATAGCCCTAAATGGCCATTTTGGGAGCCACATTCACCATGAGTCAGGTGGCATTATATCAGCAGGTCCATAGTAACCATAGAAAGGAGCCAAAGTAACCAGTTAGATCAGGCTCTCCAACTTGTGTCTGTCATTCCAAAGGAAACAGACACAGGAAAAAACAGGAAGCCGTCACCTCTCTGCACAGCTGCCATGATTAATTAATGACTCTGAAAGCATGAGCAGCAGTGGCCAAGGCATCAACTCTAGGACACAAGAACAGGGCTGGCTCCATAGGTACTTTTAAACTCATACTTACTACAGAAGAGACTCTGAGAAGCAGAGCCATTCTTGAAAAACTAATGCAAGGATTTAAACTAAGCTGGCAGGGAGAATAGTGCTTCCAGCAACAGCTGGAAGAAAAACCCAGTATATTCTTTTAATCATTAAAAGTCTTTTTCAAAGCTACTCAGCATGAAGTGGTGTTAGGGGTGGGAGGTTCAGTCGGAGCAGTACTGGGGGAATTTATAACCAAGGAAGTTGAAATCTCCTGAATAAGTAACAATCAGCAAACACCTAACAGTGAAAGGCAACACTGTAGAGCAGTGATTCCCAAACTCAGTAACACTGCAGAACAGTGGTTCCCAACCTCAACAACACTGCAGAGCAGCTGTTCCTAACCTCAACAACACTGCAGAGCAGCTGTTCCTAACCTCAACACTGCAGAGTAGTGGTTCCTAAACTCAACAACACTGTAGGGCAGCGGTTCCTAACCTCAACCCTATAGGGCAAGTGGTTCCCAGCCTCAACACTATAGAGCAGCATTTCCCAGCCTCAACACTGTAGAGCTGTGGTTCTTAATCTTCCAAATGCAGCAGTCCCTCATGTTTTGGTGACACCCAACCCACAAAATTATTTTGTTGATATTTCATAACTAATATAAGTATCTGATATGCGACCCCCAAAGAGGTGGCAACACACATGTTGAGAACTGCTGCCTTAAAACATCACAAATTTGAGCCAATAAAGGGGAAAGTAGCAGGGTATAGGGGGCTTTAAATAATCAACTTAAGTCAAAGCAAAGCAAATGAAGCTTTACTCTCTTACCCGGATCCAGGAGTTAAGTTCTGATTCTCCAGGGGTCCGTGGTTCTTTGTTCATCAGACAACATAAGCACCATATTAGATATTTTTGGCTTTCATCTACAGAAAACAAAACTAAAATGAGTATATTTTATCAAATAGGAAAAACCCTTAAGAACATGCTTAGGAAAACCTCAAAGTACCAAGCTCGGCATTGGCTTTTCTTCTTGTGGGTTCAGCTCACTGTCCAGCTCTTGTGTGGTCAACTCTTTCTGAAAGAGCAGCAGTTTTTAAAGCCAAATAAGAACGATGGAAAGAGCTGAAAGTGCTGGGCTTTTCAAGATGTTTCTAATTTCACATTTCAAACATCAGTAATTTCAATCTTTTTAAAGCAAAATAACTACTATCTGTTTCTGTCTCTAGTGGCCAAATCTGTTCCAGGTAGAAACTTATAGCACAACTAGTAAACAAAAATTAAAGCTGTAAACTGAAGCTGTTAGGATACAAGCTACACAGCAATGTAGACCCTGCAATGGAGAGAAAGAAGACAGACATACCCAGCCCCTGCAGCATCCTTAAAGACACTCAGAGCTCACCTTCTAGCCTCCTGCAGCTAACAGTGCTTACATTGGCTTTGCTATCAAAGGCACAAGAACAGGACAAACTACAGGAAATCTCCTCTACATTCACTGAGAGCACCTGTCCCTTCATAATTTTTAGGCCTATTTTCCCTCCAGTGACAATCATTAAGCTTCGGCTTTCACAGTAACTAATAACTGAATGAACACAACAGGGTCGTTCTGAGCGACATTCATTTTTCCCTATGAGCTTAAATAAAAGCCTCGGGAGGTACAGTTTTACCTGACACATGTTAATTTCCAGACTCGTAACTTTCAACTAATTCTTCAGGCCAAACTGATACCTCTGAGTGCAAGGTGACTGCTGTGCTTAACCTGGTATAAATACTAATTCATGCGTAACAGAAATTCCAATAATAGGGTTTACTATGGAGTAAAGGAGGATGTGATGTACTAGGAAGCAATTTCAAAAAGGGAGAGAGGAAAATGTTGTTTACGGAGCCCAAACTCCAAGGGATCAAAACAGGAGTGCCTCTCCACCCCAGGGTGCAGAGTAATTCTATGCAGGAGTTCAAGGGTGTATTTTTCTCTCATGAGTAGGAAAAAAAGATCTAGGGACATTCTCCCAATGTCTCCTCAGAAGTGATGCACTGAGCTATACCACTGGCTGAAGAGCACACAGCTTGCTTTGCTTAGATGGTTCACAGACATAAACAAGCCACGGCTGGTTACATGAGGGCCACTAGTACTCCATACAGGGAATGGCATCCAGGAGCTTCCTCCCCAGAGGCCGAAGGTTGGAACTGGGCATTCCCTGTCACTGTGCTTCAGTGGTAACAGGAAACTGCCTAGGATCCACCAGGACTCACCAGCAGATCTTGGCACAAATGTGAATTCTAAAAATGAGTGAAAGGAAAATGAAATGTGCCAATATGCACCTGCTGCCTTTCTGGTACCTTGAAATTCCAAATGAAGGCTACACTCTATACCTTAATCCCCAGTTTAAGGGCACAAAACAGCAATTTTCTGAGATGATAAAGATTATTGTAAGTTGCTAGGCTGTGGTTATTGTTACAGTGAGGCTGGAGGGGCTCTGGTTCTTAGCCTGAATCTGCCTCACGTTACAGGAGAGGCAGTGTGTGCACAGAGCAGCGTCACTGAGGAAGAGGCTTCCACCCTTCATCTCCAGGTCCTTCCTCTCCCCTCACCCTTGCTTCTCACCCTGACCGAATGACTCTTCCATTAGGCAGACAGGTACTTTGCCTAAAGCTTGGGGTTCTGATATTTTGCTGTTAGGCTGTTTGGGGTCTATTTTTCTTTGGTTATCTTGATAGTAGTGGTGTGTGCACTGACAGTGGTGGTGTGTGCAACAGGTCTTACCATGCAGCCCAGGCTGCCCATCTCAGCACCCCAAGTATACTTTCACCATTTTTCATATGAAATTTTGATAATATAAGACAGAAAACAACCCTCTCCAGAAAGTGTTCAACTAGTGGAACAACAGTGAAGTGAAAACTGAGATCTTATAGGTAGTTCAATAAGTCACACAGGTGCTGAAACAGCAAGAGCAGGGCTGTGATGATATGAATCACTTTTCACTGCAATTCACTCCACAGTTTCCTCCCCTTTCTCTCTTGGTCACAGCACACCAGGAGCTAGGAAACGAGTTGGAGCTATAAATATTTAAAATAGCACAGTGACTTTGAGCTGCATCTACAAATAAAGCCTTTCAGGGGATGTACTTAACTGTGCACATGTGTATCTGTCTATGCAAATGTGTGCATATCTGTGTATTATGCTTAAATACTCACAGGTATGTACGCAAGTGTAGTTCTAGTCCAAAATACCCAGAAAGAGGCCTGGATACAGTATATGAGCTCAGACGTGTACACATGGCTTTGGAAGGTAAACACAGCACTGGCTCACTAGCTTTCCATTTTAAGTCATAACTTGACTGGGAGGAAAGAAGAAGACAAAGAAAAGGAAGGAAGGCTCAGGGACACAAAGGAGGGAATGGAATGAGTAAGGCTAAATGTGCACCTCATGCACAAGTGTGTGCTCAAAGACCCCATGAGGGGCTCCCCCTTTCCACCTAGTTCACAGCTCTCACAACGACACATGGTAGATTAGGAGAGGGAAAATGTGCACTTCTTCCAAACATTAAAGGAAAATGGAATCTTTACTTTAGTTCTCACTTTATGTTACAATGTAATTAGTCTTTGACTTTGAAAAAAAGATGAAAAGGCCGGGCGTTGGTGGCGCACACCTTTAATCCCAGCACTCGGGAGGCGGTTAAACAGAAAAAACCTGCCTCAAAAAAAAAAAAAAAAAAAAAAAAAAAAAAAAAAAAAAACAACAACAACAACAACAAAAAACCATGTAAAGAACATTATATCTGCTAATAAAGTCTGTTAATCCAAGGCAGAAGCCCTTCAACGAGCTCCTATAGAGGCTCCTTGGCACCTCAACCAGGCTTGAGGATGACAATGAGAAGTGACACTGCTCCTAGGCCTCAGGCAGTGGAAGAAGTACTATGAAAAAGGAGACCCACCCAGCCTCAGCAAGGCCATTTCCAGGTCAACAGGCAAAGGGAATGGACCGCAGAGCACAGATCCACACTGACGTCGAGGCGGCTGGCAACAGTACCACTGCAATGGCATGCTACACTTGAGGATGATAAACTAGAAGCAAGGTTGGATGGGTGGGAATCAAGGAACACTAACCCTAAAGTATCTCCAAATTCCCTCAACCATGGATAACACCACACCACTCAAATAACGGCAAAGCAATATCAGGGCCCCAACACTGAACAATAGCCTCACAAGTGAGCAACAACTCATAAGTTAACATGGATCTGTGAAACAATTAACTAGGTATTGTTAGCATCAAATCTAGTTGTGGAGAATTTAAAATGAGGCAATGAAAGTGACTAGAGACAGAAACTGGTGTTTAAATCATGAAGTGTTTCCTCTCTCTACTCTAAGAAGCCTTGCTTTCCTTCAAGTCCACACGCATAAGCCTGTGTGTGCGTGTGTGTCATCTTGCCTGTAACACACAGAAGCACAGGAAGTGGCACACATGGTGAGCTGCCCCATGGAAACGTGAAAAAAAAGTTAGTTTACATCCCTGTGCTTTGTCCAGAGAGTAAAACTGCCATTAGGTGTTTGTGTGTTGAGACTCTTACCATATGCTAAGATGAGAGGATTCCAACAAGCTTTCGCCAACAGTTGACCAATTGTGGGGAACCTTTCCAGGATTGCGTTAGAATCCTGTAAAAACAACAACCACATGTTTTGATAGTTAAAAAGCACTATACAGTGCAACTGAGCAACACAATTCCTCAAGGGAGCCTGAGTGCTCCTGTAATTCCTATTTTAGAAGGTGTACAGGGTGAGATTACAGAAAAGCTCTATGTAAGAAATCAAAGTTTAACTTGTTCTTCATCCCTAAAAACTCAGCATGGCACCACAATTAGGTCATTTCAATTTTGTCAGAAAGTTTATTGTATTTTACCCAAACTTAATAATCAGAAAAGGCTACTTCTTTGTTGTTGTTGTTGGAGACAGGGTCTCCTGCATAGCCTTGGCTGTCCTGGAACTCACATGCTGGCCTAAACCTCACAGAGATCTGCCTGCCTGCCTCCCAAGTATTGGGATTGCCCAACTAGGGAAGACTATTTCACTTAAACAACACACTGCAGAAGAGCAGCACTGGTGATTAATAACCATGCAACCTTACCTCTTTGAAATACAAATTTTATTTAGTATAAGAAAGACCCCACATTCAGCTTTTCAACTGTTTAACAGGACAAGAACTCTGGAACTTGTAAAGGAAGGAAAGTGGCTGAGGCACTAAGTCTCATGTCTTCATGTGTTACAGTTATGATTGTTTATTTAAAACAGCCCCATGATACAGCAGGAAGTTCCCCAACATGGTCCCAGCACCAGGGCTGAGCCTAGACTTTCTGAGACCACATTAAGGTCAAGTTACAAAAGTCTTACTAAAAAAAAAAAGTTTCAAAATTAGTACCACTTGTTCCACATAGCCTTTCCTTCCAATTTCTAAGGACATGTGAACCCATTATCTACAGAATAACATACAGAACTCATCTACAGAATAATCTATAGAAATCTGTTCTTCAAATTTCTCATTTGCTTCTTTGATGAAGAAAGTATTACATGAAAGTACATATGTTAACAATTACTTTCATTTTCAAATTTACAAATAAAATATGAAAAAAACTTCCAAAACACTAATATGTTTATAACATGAAAACATGGCACACGCCTTTAATACCAGCAATCAGGAGGCAGAGACAGGTGGATCCTTATTAGTTTGAAGCCAGCCTGGGCTACATAGTGAGTACCAGGACAGTCAGGGCTACACAGAGAAATTCTGTCTCAAAAAAAGAAACAAACGAAAATATCTAATACAGTAAACATAAGCAATTTATGTCAATAGGGAGATAAATGGGAATATAAACACCAAATTATATAAGATACTCAAAAATTTATTTGATAGGATCTCTTAAAGTATTTGTTAGAAGAGATCTTACTATGTTAATAGTGAGGAATCAATGACAGACAGGATCTTAGTCTCTCTCAACAGCACCTCCTTGAAAACGGAGCTGAGAGAAAGGCAAACAGCCCAATAACCCTTGGAAAGTTTGAAGGGCACAAGGACAAACCGCATTTACTGCCCACAGGGAGAACCCAAGCCCTGGAATCCAAAAACAACTTGCTTGGGTTTAGGATACAGTTTTATGATAGAAGGCTTGCCTAACATGTGGAAGCCCCTAGGCTCAATTCCAAACACTGCAAGAATGAATGGATTAATTATTAGTTAATTAATATAAAGAGCTTTTTGGCCAGGCAGTCTCAGAAGGTATGAAAACAGCTCTTGTCTGCAGCACCTTCCAACAATCTGTCTAGGTTCAGTTAAGTCAATCACACAAGTCCCTAACTCAAAGAAGCATTCTTGCTTGGGGAGTCCCCGATGCCACAGGATACTTGCCATCTCTTTCAAGGTCTCATACATCTGCTTCAGGAACTCCTGGAACCGGGACAAGTGAAGACAGGTATCCTGCTGGGTTTCCTTAGAGGAAGCCTGTTCCCAGACAGAAAGCTTCTGCAGCCAAAATTGATAGTCTGAAGCAAGGTCTGCTGAATCCCGAGCCATCTCTAGGCAGAGAATAGTGACATCCCTTCACAGCGGCCTGCCAAGTAGCACAGGGAATGGTGAGCATGCTTCAGGTCTTCAGAGAGGGAACAGATGTAACATTTAGGACAGGCTCCTCTATCAGCACATTCACAAGCCACCAAGGGTGAAGGCAGACTAGGAGATGAGCACAGCCTGCTCGGGATGCTGGAGTCCTCTCTGAGTCATTTGAAATGTGTCATCCAGCTGTAGCTCAGATCTTAACATCTGAACTTTTATCATGAGTAGTGTCATTACTAAAGTCATTACACTTCCACAGTAACACACTAATTGCGGACAAAAAGCACAGCTGATAACGCTTTACATTTGCTTAAGACTGAGCTATTTTTAAATGTCTTGAATGTGAAGTTCCTTTGTGTATTCTTTTTATTATTATTTTTTTCATTATAAACTGTTTGGCGGATGGCTCAGGCTTCTTATTGGCTAGCTCTCTCTCTCTTTTTTTTCTTCTAAATTTAAATCAGAAACAATCTTGTTTTACATGTCAATCCCAGTTCCCTCTCCCTCCCATCCTCCCCTGCTCCCCCACTGTCCCCCATCCCATCCCTCTTCTGCTCTATAGAAAGGGTGAGGCCTTGCATGGGGGAATCTTCAAAGTCTGTTACATCATTTGGAGCAGGGCCTAGGCCCTCCCCCATGTGTCTAGGCTAAGAGAGTATCACTCTATGTGGAATTGGCTCCCAAAGTCCATTCGTACACTAGGGATAAATATTGTTCCACTACCAGAGGCCCCATAGACTGTCCAGGCCTCCAAACTGACATCCACGTTCAGGGTGTCTGGTTTGGTCCTATGCTGGTTTCCCAGCCATCAGTCTGGGGCCCATGAGCTTCCCCTTGTTCAGGTCAGCTGTTTCTGTGGGTTTCTCCAGCCTGGTCTTGACCCCTTTGCTCATCACTCCTCCCTCTCTGCCACTGGATTCCCGGAGTTTGGCTCAGTGCTTAGTTGTAGGTGTCTGCTTCTCCTTCCATCAGCTACTGGATGAAGGCTCTAGGATGGCATTTAAGGTAGTCATCAATCTCATTATCGGGAAGGGCATTTAAGGTACTCTCTCCACAATTGCTTAGATTCTTAGTTGGGGTCATCTTTGTAGATCTCAGGAAATGTCCTTTGTGTATTCTAAGGATGAGAAATTAGAAACATCCATGGGTGTTAACCAACAGTCTGTGCCTGAGAAATGCTTCTGATATCCTGATGCTTTGCATTACTAGCTAATGAATTTTCTTCCTGGTTCTTCTTCACTTCAAGAAAAAAAAGGTAAAGTAATGTATTCCTCATGCAATCTGCTTAATTAAATACTGCTCTAGGGAGCCTGGAGCTGCTCAGTAGGCAGTGTGAGCTGTGCAGCCTGAGGACAAGGCTCTGGCAATGTCTGTAGCTCCAGAGAGATCCTCAGAGCTCATTGGCTAACTAACCTACCCAGTGGGTGGGCACCAGGTTCAGTGAGAATCCCTGTCTTAAAAAGCCAATACACCCTCGGTGTATACACAACATGAATACAAATAAGTTAATAAAAGGTAAAAATAAAAATTTAACACCACTGCTTTACATGTAAAATCCATCCATAAGAAGCCATATTTTCATAAACCATAACACATATTTACTAGGCAGCAAACTCATTAAAGGACAAAAAAATAAATCTCCTAAGCCTGACTTCCTGACTCTGAAGTAAATATAAGAAAACCCAATGGGAGTAAATAGGCGTCCTGTGCCTTGGGGCAGGAGGTAGGCCAGTGGACATCAGAGGCCCCTCCAATACAGTACCACATGTTCCTGTGGAGAAGGGCAGTTCCTCTCAGACCCCTGCGCTTTCCTGAGACAGGGTAACATACAGAGGTCTTACCTCAAGGGACTGCATTCACAAAAGTAAAGGCTGAGTTCAAACCTCAGCATCAGTGAGTAATATAAAATGCTTCTACTAGGTGCCAACCCTCAAAGGAAGATGGCCCTCCTTCCTAAGCAGGACAACAAAAGACACTGAAGGTGACAGCTGAATCACAGAGGCTTGGACAGGAAAATGGCAGTTTGCAAGCGGCCTTTTACAGTTTTGAGGACTTGACCACAGTGGAAACCAACAGAAGGCTTACTAATTAACACAGGAGACACATGCACACTAGCCAAATGACACTCAGCAGCTGGAGGTCTGCATTATGGACCCTGTGTAAGCACCTCAAGGTGGGAGTGGCCATGTCCAGGCCCCCAGGCTACTCTAAAGGCCGTTTCCAGCCCCTCAAGATGCAGGCAACCAAGCTGTGCCCTCTATAGGGCACACAATCCCACAAGCCCCAGGCCACCATGGAAAGCCCCATCTCACCCCAAGAAACCATAACAAAGCCTGTCTCCTGCTCAGGTCTTTGCTGTTTCTCACTGGAGCAGAGGCAGCCTACCTCTTTTGTCTTCACCAAAAAAATTCGTGTGAGGTTTGTTGTACAGTGTGACTTTGTGGTATTTTTGGCTCCCAACTGCCAGGATCCCTTCAGAGCTACAGCACCTGGATTGGGGAACCCTTTCCCCTCAGATCTGTAACACTTATGCCTCCCCTTCTCTCACTGTCCTCATCGAAACTGTCTACAAAACTCCACCTACAAAAGAATGTGGAGCTTCAAGACTTCCTTCCATCTCCCTCCTGGACTGTCACAAGTATCTGCAGGTTTCATCCACTCCTCTACAATCCATTCTCTATAAATACAGAAGACAACTCCTGTATGTATAAATCCCACCCAATACACACTCACTCAACACTGCTTTTTCAGAGCTTCTTTGAAAAGAAATCCAGCTCAGCTAAGGAAAGAAAAAAGAAGAAGAGAGAAAGAAGAGAGAGACAGAGAGACAGACAGAAATCCTCCCTTTCTGCTGCTCCCCAGCATGGCATACACAGTCAAGCCCAGGTTTCACACATGCTCTGGAGTATTACTAACCCCTCCATGCTCCCTGATCTCCTCCCCTTATGGCTTGAGAGTGTTAAGTTCTCTTGAGAATTTATTCATTCATTCATATTGCTTTCCTGGTATATCAATTCTCTGCCTTCCTAGAACCTAACATGGCTGACACTCAACAGATACCAAATAAACAAACAATGATTCTCTGGTAGTTTTCAAAGTACAGTTCTAAGGTACATGTCATAGCAAAATTGCTCCTCCAAATAACTTAGTTTTTAAAATATAAAACAAAACGTCCAAAAATGAAAATATCAAACAATTATTAGTTAAACATTCACATGCATACAGTCACCATGCTCTGGGCCATGTATGAATTGCTTCATACATGTGAACTAAATCCTCAAAGTGACTCTTTGGAGAGTAGCGTTAACAAAGGCACAAAGTCAGATCATGTAAAATCCCAAAGGAAAAGATTGCTAGGAAAGGGTAGAGCCAAAGCAGTGAGATCTCCACCCAGAATCAGCTCTAAAGTTTGCACCCTTATGTGATGGGGAATGTGGAGACAGAAACTTCCATCTACACTTATGTATTAATCAGGGTTCTCTAGAGAAACAGAACTTATGGAATGAACATGTGTGTAGGCGGGAGGGGGGGTGTTACTAGGGTGGCTTACAGGCTGTGGTCCAGCTAGTCCAACAATGGCTGTCTACCAATGGAAAGTCCAAGAATCCAATAGTTGTTCAGTCCATAAGGCTGGATGCCTCAGCTGGTCTTCAGTATACACCAGAATCAAAAAAAAAAACAAAAAACAAAAGAAGTGTGCTCTAATGCCAGTGACTTGGCAGGGAAAGTGAAAGCAGATAGCCAGAGAGAGCAAGTTTCCTTCTTCCATGTCCTGGGTGGCTGGCCTCTGGAGTCTTCCTCCTTCTCTGGTTACTTCTTCCTTGCTCCCAGAGTTCTCCTTCTATTTATTGTCTCTGCCTGCCAGCCCCACCTATCCTTTCTTCTGCCTTGCTATTGGTCGTTCAGTTCTTTATTAGGCCATCAGGTGTTTTAGACAGGCAAAGTGACACACCTTCACAGAGTTAAACAAATGCAACATAAACAAAAGGGACACACCTTAATATAATATTCTACACCTGGGTTCTAGTTAATTCAAAATGTAGTCAAGCTGACAACCAAGAATAGCCATCACACCTTAGATAACACAAAAAAAGACAAAATAATCACTTTTGTGTAAATTTCATATGGCATTGGGAGGGAGTAGACCAGTTTAAATATTTGAAAAGGTAAATCAGATAAATTTTTCAGAAACAAGGAACAAAAACACTTTTATTTTCAAAAAACTTAAACGAACCTTTGTTTTGACATGGAAAGTTGCATAGGTTAGAGATGCCCCTTCATGAGAAACACCGACCTCACAGTATACAGGACTGTAACATGAATCATATAAACCCAGACACAGACATTATGGTTCAAGCTTCAAGCTGAAGATCAGAGAAGCAAAGCAGCCAGTCACAAGGTATTACCTCTACCTCAGACTGAAATGGTGATCCTGGCTCCACGAATCCTCAGACTGCAATCCTACAATGGCTATGCTCTCCTCAGCGTGGCTGGAGACCAATTCTCTGAGACTGACTACTGAATGCCCCACTCCTCTCTTCTACATCTCTCTAGAGCTGGGATGAAAGATGTGGAATCCCAAGTGCTGAGATCTCCTCTCTGTCAGCTGTGTCTCTTTCAGATGGACTCACTCTCATGTAGCCCAGGGTGGCCTTGAACTCACAGAGATCCATCTGCCTCTATCTACTGAGTCTTGGGATTAAAAGCATGTGCCACCACTGGCCAGCTTCTATGGCTAACAAGCACGGCTGCTGGAATTAAACATATCACCACTGCCTAGCTATATGGCTGTGGCTAGCTTTGCAATTTGATCTCCAGTGGCTTTATTAAGTCATAAATAATAAATCACCACACTGAATGCTACAAAGTCATCAGGGACACTGTCTCCTTAGCAATCCCCCACCTCTTCTCCATCCTATGGCGTCTTAGGGTCTGCCATTGGTCAAGGGTGGGACTATGATTCATGCTGGTTAGGCGTATCAGACCCTGCTGAGAACCTCACCTTGAGTTAGGTGGATATAAAGGCAGAAAAAAAAAGCCTGAAAGCGTTCTTTCTCTTCTCCTTTTCTTCTTCCCTTTTCTCTTCAATCTTTTCTTTTCAAGATAGAATCTCACTCTGCAGCACACACTGGTCTCAGACTCAGGGCAAACCTCCTGAATCACCCTCTTAAATCCTGAGGTTCCAGGTGTGGGTCACCATGGCCAGTCAAGGCTCTTCTTGGAGCTATCCTACTTCATGACCTGAATGAGACAGAATCTCCTCTCCCACACCTAACATTTTATTGTACTCTCTTCACTCTTGCATGAGAACTTTCAGAATCCTTACATCAATGCCTTCATACATAAAATGTCTTTTCTCTCTGACCTGTTTAAGGAGTCTCTAGT